CTAAAACATATTAATAAATAATTAAAACATTAAATTTGAAAAAATTTATTAATATATTTACAGCATATCTATACAGTATAATGTTATATATATATATATATATATATATATATATATATATATATATATATATATATATATATATATATATATATATATATATTCTAATAAATAAGACAAACTTTTTAATTTTTGTTAAAATCATTTATTTTGTAAATACATGTTTCGACTATATTATAGCCATCATCAGTTAAAATATATTAAAATGCTTAAATCAAATCATTACAATTAAGTTGAACTAAGAGAGACCTTACAATAAAAATACAATAAAAATGAAATTTAAAAATGTAACAAATGTTTTAAAAAGATAAAAGAACCGGTAATGTTAAGAAGAACTATGAGGATAGGATTGATATGGTCATTTTTACATGGTTCATTTGTTTATTAATAGTGGGTTTTTCCCACTCTATGTACATGATTTCTTTGAGTTTTAATATAAATTTGTTGGAGACTGAATAACCATGAAGCTGTTTCAATAGTTTTAACAAATTTTTAATAACCATTAAAACTATTAAAACAGCTTTCTCTAAATATTAATACTGTAAAAATTAAATGTTCAATGTTCAATGTTCAATGTCGTTTCGCTTCCCTTTTTAAAGCAGTTTTTATTAGTTGCTAGGCTTTTCTGAACTTGAAACAGCGCGTTCTCAAAATGTACGCGGTTATTAGAGGAAGATCTTTCAACCGAGTTAAAACTTTTTACCTTTAGAATTGAATTAATATTAAGATTAGTTTAGAAATATTACATAAAGAATCATATTAAGATAAATAATCATCGTTAAGATCATATTATAATAATCATCGTTAAGATCATATAAGCATTGAAAATAGTTTCGCAATTTATATATAATATTTTTTATTAAAAATAAAGTAAAAAGGATCACTCCTTTTAATTTTTTAAATCATTTACATTTTGTTTGTTTTAGATTTTCTTTTGGCTTTATTTTTTTCTAGCAGTTTTTATTGAGCATATCTTCTAGTTTTTAGAAGGAAAATAAAGGTAAGGATGAGGTCTAATTATTTTTTATGCAACAAAAAAGTTATACTAATGCTATTTCAATAAAATTGGTTATTACTACCATGAAATTTCTGTGATTCTATTAACTGCTTTTGCTCTTTTTTAGAAAATTTAGAAAAATAAATTGAAATTTTGTGCCACTACTGACATGTCACATGTTATTGTATGTAAAGATTAAATTTTTGTTATGAGAATTACAGTTCTTATGAAAAAAAAAGGTAAAGAGTATTGTTTGTATATAAATATTTATATTTTGTTTACTTTGAATCTTTTAAAATTTTCTCATGCCATTTTTAAAGTTTTTGTTTGCACAATTCAAGTTATATGTTTATTGTTTGCATTGCTTTTTTGATAATTATGTGTATATTGTAAAATGTGCTTTATAGCTTTTTTATCAATGTGTTTTTATAATAATGTAACATGTTTTTTTATTGTTTGTGTATGTGTTAATATAAGTTATATAATTGTTTTATAAATGTGTTTAAATATGTTTAAATATGTTTATTTATGTTTTCAAAGTGCTGTGACTTGGTAAACGTGTAAAGCAAGATTTGTCAACCTTGCCAGCCAAGACACTTACTGCAAAGGGTTACAAAGCAGTGTTTTGTGTCAAACTGTTACTGCTTTAGGTCTAGGTGTTTTCAAGCCTTTATTAATAATTACTCTGAAAATACATAATAATGTATTTTAATAACATTTTTCGTAATGTTGTTACTTATGTTCTGTTATATATGAATGTTATGTTTCTTAAGTTATGTTATATGCATATTATATGAACTTATGGTGGCTATTGTGGTTGTGATGTTGTTTTTTGTAATCTTTTGAGTTGATATACATTTGGTTTACCTTCAAGTTGTTTTCTACTGTTAAAAATGATACATAGTTAATTTCATTATTAGACCTCACTGCATTTAATCATTCACTAAAATTAATATTTAGATTCACTAAAAGCCTACTACTACTACTCTGGTAAATCACATCAGCTTTATCAGGTACAATGATTTCTTTTTTTTTTGTATGTAATTTTTTTCTTATTTATTTATTTGTTACATTTTTTATTTATCAAATGATGTATTTATGTGGTATAGAAGAACAAAATATTGTTAAGTTTTGTAAATTTTTAAAAAAATTTTACTAATTTTTTTTTCAAATAAATAATATTGCTTAAAAAGGTTTTACTACGTTTGTTTTTTAATTTTTCTATATTAGGAGTTTTATTACTTTTAATGCAAATATCTATTTTTTATTATATCATTATTTTTTCTTTAGATCTAAATTGGAGCAGCTACAGACTATATTGCTCCCAGCACCCAGGACCACTTTCTGAGAGGTCCTTTAACAAATGTTGCAGTAATAATGGTATGGATAAGCCCTCTTTCAAATGGAGGGCTCATCCATACAGGGGTGCTGGGAGGAACCAAGTAAAAAATAGCAACAAAAAATTTTTTAATATCATCAATCAGTGAAGAAATTAACAATTTTTTTGTTGCTGTTTTTTCCTTAGTGTTTTATTTTCATTAAAAAAATATATATATTCTAAATTATGTTTGTTTTTATTTTTTTAGTATTTGTTTAGATTATTATTTATAGTTTTTATTACTTTAATTTTTGATTCACAATATAACATGGCTATTATATTGCTTCGAATATATACCATACCAGTTAATCAGTTTTGAAAAAATGTACTGCAGCAATTTGTTAACTATAACAAAAATCACATTTAAATTTGTAATATTTTTAAGTTATAATTTTAAATTAATTTGTTGATTTCCAACAATCTTTTGATTGTTGATTTCCATGTTTGATTGTTGATTTTGATTGTTGATTTCCATTTTTGATTGTTGATTTCTTTTGACTGTTTTGAATTTAATAATTAATTGTTGATAGCTGTCTTTAACTTATGTAAAGCTTTAATAAATTTAATCTTCTGATTTTAATGTGTAATAGATAATATAAAATATTGGAAAAAAGATTAAGTAATAAAAAAGCAGATAATTAATCTTTGATAAACTTTGTCATGTTGCTTATTATATTATTGGCATTTCGGTGATGCTGATAAATCGATTTCAATCCTCTCGCTCTACGGCCGACTTGCTAACTGCTGTAACTGAAAGATTTTATCGTGCATTAGATGGAGGCGGTGAGGCTAGGGCTATTGCTCTCAACGTATCTAAAGCTTTCGACAAAGTTTGGCATGCTGGTCTTCTCCATAAGCTTGCTTCATATGGTGTTTCCGGGAAAGTTTTTGAGATTATCAAATCATTTCTTTCTAACCGGTTTATTCAAGTCATCCTTGAAGGCCAACACTCTTCTTTATTTCCAGTAACTTCTGGGGTTCCCCAAGGTTCCATCTTGGGCCCTGTTTTGTTTCTTATCTACATAAACGATCTTCCTGACAACCTTTCATCTAAAATAGCTCTTTTTGCTGATGACTCAACTTTATACTCCTGTCTTGACAAAAAGTCTTCTCTTTTCGATCGCCTAGAACAAGCAGCTGATCTTGAATCTGATCTCACTTCAGTAATAGATTGGGGTTCACAGTGGCTTGTGAATTTCAACTCTAAAAAAACCCAATTGCTTACTGCAAACAACTACCGCAATATGGTCAACATTCCTATATTAATGAATGGCAATCCTCTTACTGAGTCGTCCTCTTTACGTCTTCTGGATTATTGCTTACTACTGACCTTTCATGGAAACCATATATACAATCGATTGCTAAATTAGCTTCTGCTAAGGTTGCTTCTCTTTATCGTGCTCGCCATTTCCTTACTTCTGATTCCATTCTCTACCTCTACAAATCTCTTATTCGTCCCTGTATGGAATACTGTTGTCATATTTGGGCTGGTTCTTCTAACGATTCACTTTCTCTTCTTGACAAGGTCCAAAAACGCATTGTAAATGTTGTTGGACCTGGACTATCTGCTAAGCTTGAACCTCTTTCCCATCGTCGTAAAGTTGCATCTCTTTCTCTTTTCTACAGATACTATTATGGTCATTGCTCAAAGGAGTTATCATCTCTAGTTCCATCAACTAAAATTCATTCTCGTTTTACTCGTCATTCAGCTAAGTCTCATTCGTTTACTGTATCTGTCCCTGCATGCTCTAAAAACTTTTATTCATCTAGTTTTTTTCCCCACACTTCCCCCACAATCCTTTGGAACTCTCTCCTATCTTCATGTTTTCCTGACTCATACAAACTTCAACTTTTCAAGTCTTCTGTCAACCGTTTCCTTGCTCTATAACTCTGTTCTTTTTTTTTTCCTAGTAACTCCCAACTTAATAGTGGTTGCTTGCAGCCTTGTTGGGAGTGAATGCAAATAAATAAAAAAAAAAAAAAAAAATTTTCTTTTCTTTAGAATTTAGAAAAATGAATTAAACTACAACTTTTGAACAGTCATTGTTTGTGAAGGTTAAATTGTTTGCATGTTTTTTATACAATTTTTTTTATAGAAATAATATTAAAGTTTACTAAAAGGGGTTTACAAATACTTTACTTTTTATTTTTTGTCTCTTTTTTTTTGTATTAACAGTACCCTTTATCATTAAAATTTTTATTATTATTATTTTTATTTTATTACTATTGGTTAATTTTTTATTTACATTATATTTATAAGTTTATTTTTTGTTTAAACATCTTTTAACGGATATATTTATAAAAATGTTTTTATAAAAAACTCACAATATTGTTGTATAACTTGGTTTATTTTAAATAAAAATTTCCTATGTAATGTTTTAAAAATTATTCTTTGTGTGTGTGCAATTTAGAGAAGTAAAAAAAAAAAATCACAATCTTCAAGATTCTTTCAAGATTTTTTGTTACTACTATCAATTAAAAGTGAAGTTTAAATGGATGATATAAGGCTAGAAGTAGTTATTAGTTTAGAAAATGATGGAAATGTTAATAAGCAAGTTGAAAATA